AAGGAAGAAAGGAAGGAAGGAAAGAAGGAAAAGTAGCTATGGAGCGAGAGAGAAGCTACCTACAGAGAAAGAGAGAGAAAGAGAGAGAGAGGGGGGAGGGAGGAAGTTGACTAGAAAGGAAGAAAAGAAATCAGGGTTGGGGGGAGGGAGAGTGATCCTGGTGTGCGTTGACGTTCTTTTCCTAGGAAAAAAAAAAAATAAAAAAGAAAAAAAGAAAAGAGAGAGAGAGAGAGAAAAGAAAGAAGGAGAAGAAAGGAGGAAGAGGGAGGAGGAAGTTGATGAGGAGGAGAAGATGGAGGAGGAGGGAGAGGAGGAGGAAGTTAGGAAAAGAAAAAACGAGGAAATCGGAGGAAATGGGACGACGAGATCGGTAGTAGCGAGTATCCTTGTAGAACGAGTCGACAATGGTTCGTGAAGAGGAAGGGTGAGAGTAAAGGGGGTTAGAGAGGGGATAGAGTGTTGTAGAATGGTCGAAGGTGGGGGAGGGGAGAAGAGAAAGGTGGTGACGGTGATGATGATGGTGAAAGCTAGCGGTGACGGTGGTGGTGAAAGGTGGTGATGGTGGTGGTGGTGGTGAAAAGTGGTGGTGGTGGTGGTGGTGGTGATTCGTTTCTCGAGTTGGGACGGATGGTGGAAGAAAATTGAGAAACTACCTTCGTTCGTTCGTTCGATGCTAAAAAGGAACGATGCTTACGGACACAAAGAAATTCCAAAGAATCAAGGGAGAGAGAGAGAGAGAGAGAGAGAGAGAGAGAGAGAGAGAGAGAGACGAAGAAAATCCTACCTTCCCTAACGCGAAACGTTTTATATGACTCATTTAACGTTTCTTTCTTTCCCGTTTCCGGTCTCTCCGGTCTTGTATCGCTATATAGAACCTTCGTTTTCTTTTTTTTTTCTTTTTTTTTTATTTTTTTTTTTGTTTCTTTTTTATTATTTCCCTTTTTATTTTTCTTCCGTTTCCTTTCTTTTCTTCTCTTTCTCTCTCTCTCTCTCTCTTTTTTTCTTTCTTTTCTTTTTATTCTTCTTTTCTTTTTTTGCGAAATAGGTACGCAGCTACATAGAATAGGTACACACAGCTCGTTTCGAAACGTTCGAACGAATGAGTAGTACGAAAGACGATAAGTTAGTTGGCAAAGAGGGAAAAAGGTGAGGTATGGTATGGTGACGGTAGGGGGGGGGGAGGAGCGAGGGAGAGAGAGAGAGAGAGAGGGAATGGGAGGAACTAGTCAATGGTAGTCAGAGGCTAAAGGAATTCCAATTGTCACATTTATTGAAAAGAATTTTTATCGTCAATTACCTACCTTAGAAAGGAAATAAAGACGAGGAGAGAAAGGGGGTAGTAGGGGGGAGGGGGAGGAGTTATAAGCGTGGAGAGATGTTGTAGGTGTGAGCGTGGAAGGAAATGGAAAAGATAGAAAGGGACGAAGTAACTAAATAAATCGAGCACGTGTGTATGTGTATGTGTTCGTGTCTGCGTTTGTATATATATATATATATGTATGTATGAGAGAGAAAGAGGGAAAAAGAGGAAAGAGAAAGAGAGAGAGAGAGAGAAAGAAAAAGAGAGAGTGAAAGTGAATGAGAATGAGAAACGTGACTTTGTTTCGTAACAATCTCCACTAGTTTCCTTCGACCCTACGTAATTGCACTTAACCCTTGAACAGGAAAATTATTTTATCGCATTATTGCGTATAGGTATATGAGCAATCAAAAGAAAAGGAAAAAAAAGAGTAAGAAAAAAAAAAACAATGGGCTGATCGTGATATATCCCCGTTACATCGCGCCGCACCCCCTACAATCCTTAATCGCCCTCAATAAGCAGCACCATTGTAATTTTTTGTTTCTACGAATACGCTCGTATGTATGTATGCATGTATGTATGTATGTATGTATGTATGTACGTACGTATGTATGTATGGACGTGCGATTATAATACGTACATGTTTCTTTCCATTTTTTTCTTTCTTTCTTTCTTTCTTTCTTTCTTTCTTTCTTTCTTTATTTTTTTTTTATTTTTCTTTTGTTTTTGTTTTTCTTCTTTCATTTCTTTTTTTTCTTTGATATACAATCTCGAATCGTAATATCTCGAGATATTAATGAATAATATTCGAAGTATCGTTTACATATGTAATGCGTTATTGGTATAGGGTTTTTTTTTATTTTTTTTATTTTTTTTTATTTTTTTTTGTTTGTTTAAAGTGCATTTTATTTATCGTACATTAAACATGTAAATGCACATGCATACATATGGACACACGTGTATACATACATATGTGTATAATGATATAATACAAAATGTGTCATACTTGGAACATATATATATATATATATATATATATATATATTTTTTTTTTATATATGTATGTATATAATACTTGTCACGACATTCAGCAATCACCTTTCTTCTCTGTTTTATTATTATCTCAACTATGTCATTTCATTCTCACGCGAGTTCTCGATAAGAATCGATAAGAATCATCGAAGATAATTCATAATTAAATAATAATTATTTATTTCGAAATATAATTATTTAATTGATTTATTACGTTAGATAGATTATATGAAATTTTTGTAATAGCAAATTCTTTAGATATAGATTAAGAGCTCGAGTAATAGGATTCCATCTTGTATAATCCATAATGACACAGAACAG